GATGGATGGATGGATGGATGGATGGATGGATGGATGGATGGATGTTATTTAGTTTTTTTTTTTTTTTGCTGCTTATTTCCTAACAAATAATGTAAAGCACATTTATATCTGGGTTAATGTTTATCCTTTTATTAACAATGTTTATGTCAAGGTTAAAGCCTTCATCAATAAGGCAAGACATATGGTTCATTTAGACAACACCTGAATTGGATGGGTATCAGATATCGTCCCATATGTTCAGCCCAAGTATCAGATTGGATCAGACAAAACTGTCTCAGTGCATCTGACGTCAATTGCGTCAACCATTAAACCAAAACTAAGTAACTATAAAAAACTTTCATAACTTCAGTGGGTGTATGTCAACCTATATCTAGTTGAATGACACCTCTGTTATGGTCCAAGGAGATCTGTATTGCTTTCACTGGCACTAAGTAACTTCTAGGGGGGAGCAGTAATCCTGACACGAAAAACAACTACAACTGTGCAGACTTTACGACATATGTCGTGCTTTATGCCATACGTCACTTCCGCCTTTCCTAATTGGTTATAAAGACGGAAGTATATGCGACTAAGTTTTGCTAAGAGACTGTTGCTGCGTCTGAACGTCCGCCCTAACACCTAAATCCCACAATCACTATATAGAGCGGGGACTATATAGTGAACTCTGTTAACTGATCGTTAACAGATAAACACGATTTTTAGCTTTCCGTTGGTCATGTGACTCCGCCTCCCCGCGTGATGCCTACGCCATCTTGGTTATTTTTCCCAGCTGTATGGTAGTGACAGCTGTAGGTGACAGCAGGCTGAGTGACAAGAAATCCCAAGATGGTTTGCAACGAGAGCTCTCCTCGCAAAGCATTCTGGGATATATCTGCCCATCTAGTGACCATGGATGATCGCTACTTTCAATGTGCATTGTAGGAAATTTCAAGTGAATTACTTTTTTATCCACTAGACATTCGGAAACTGATCTAAAATTACTTAACCACTATGTACAGTAGTGTCCCATATAGTGATCAGAGAGGACATTCGGACACAGCTTGTATATTTTTGCAAATTGTGCAGGGTTAATATTCAGGCAACGTGGCACCTTCCTGATGGGATCCTTACGTATGTTTACTGTGAAATTGTCAATCATAACATTATATTTATCTGTTTCAAGGCCCTATACTCGTTAGCATATCAGTCGCTGGTGAGGCAGTGGTGCAGGAATATGGTACAAAACCAAAGTAAAACACTTCTTATTTTCAAGTTTTTGACAGTTTCGCCACAATCATCGCTTTTCATCTTTGACAGTTACTGGAAACACAAATGTAGTTCAAACCAACTGCAGGTGATGGGAAATCAGGACTATACCATTGTAAGGTCCTTACCATGCTGCTGCTTATGGGAAATGGTGCCTTCCTTCAGGCAAAACAATACCCCCTTTGTCCACTGGGGGGAGCTACTAGTACTGCTATAAGTTGATGTCAGAAATGTTTGTTGGTTAAGCTCCAACACTTTTTATAAATTGACTGCAAGGAGATAAAATTGCTTGGTAAGTGCAAAATATATCCAACATTTTATGGACGAATCCAGAGTGGAATAAATACAATGAAAATACATAATGAATGAATGAATGAATAATAAATTTTTATAAAGCTTTTTAGCCCTTTTCTTCAATAATATATTTGAGCTGATATTAAAAGTATTTGGATATTAATGAAATTATGGATCACTTTTGGTTTCTCTCTAAAATCTGATACAACTACACTAAATCTTATCAAACAACTATCATATTTGGACAGACTTTAAACCCCCCTATTTCATTCTCACAAAATTAGTTTTTCAGTTCCTAGACATATTATTTGTTTTCATAAGATAAGATGTGACAGTGAGAAAACAGGGTGGACCTTGGCCATGCTGTGGACATGTTGTAAATGTCACTAAATTACCTCATAAATGCAAAGGAAGGTGCCTAAGCAAATTCTCAGCCATTCTGGGTCATGACAACCACACTGCAGGCTTAAACTGGAGAATACTGACATTTGCTCAGTTTTCTTGAAAACTCTTCGACTCCTATCAAGAGTCTTTGTTAATCCTGGGGGCTCACACTAGAGCAACCTGTAGTTGGAGCACTGATGCTTTTAAGTACATAGAGGCACATCCTCCTTTTCCAAGTAAGATACAAATCGTTAACCCACCTGTCGTTCTGTGTTGTCGTTGGGAGTCTCTTGTTTGGTGTCAGTTTTGTATTTAGCCAAATGAAACATGATGATACTGCTTGTTTACTTTATTTAGAGTGAGTTTTAAGACAGGGTCATATTGATTAGAAAGAAGGGGAGAAAGTTATAAAGGAAATACTTGTCCCATTTATGGATCCACCAATGAGGTAATTGGCCTGTACTTATTTAGATCCTTCTTAAGTCAGGGGACTTAAAAGTGCATTTCACTACATTTACTCATTAGCATACACACACTGACCCTATACAGTAGTAGCCATTCAAAATTTCTGCAATTTCCTTGATGGGCCCTTGGCTGGTCCTTGGCTAGTCCCTTACAATTCCGTTTTAAACATCAATCTTTGTGCTAAAATATTCGTTCTGTCATTATTTGTTGACATTAAGATCCAAAGAGAAGTGTCCTGTCCTGGTCAGACCCTGTAGGTGTCAAGGAGAAATCTTTTATCAAATGCTAACCCAACTGTTTTTAATATTCTCTTTTGTTTCTGCATTTTTTTTCATTTTATTTTATTCATTTTTTATTTTTTCTTACTTGCTTCGATTCTTTTTTATCTTCCTGTATCTTAATCATGTAAAGCACTTTGCGTTGTCCTTGTACTGAATTGTGCTATACAAATAAATTTTCCTTGCCTTGCCTGTAATTCAGTGAAAGGGTGAAGTCAGAAAATATGCACGCCCTTAAGAAGGCCAGTTGCTGGAAGTTGGAGGGGATTTTGCTGGGAGTCGCAGGGAAAAAGGCTGCCATTCGGCTGGCGATTGACTGGGAAGGGCCATTTTTAATGGCTGCTACTGTATGTGGTAATTTCACTTGTAATATGTCCATTGTACAATAAAAACAGCAAAAAGGGATTTGTGTATGGTTTTCTTTTCTTGTTGGCCTCTCTAAAACCATTCATCTTTTCCATTTTTTGTATTTTTTTTTTTTTTTTTGCTGTGGAGATAACCCCTATTTTTTTTATATCATCTTGCTATTTTAACTTCTGGTACTCATGATGTTTCATTTGACCAAAACCGAGTCCCAGTGAGGCAGCAGTGTCAACAGGACCACCCAGACTTTTCTTTCCCTAATCAGTAGGCCAGCTGAGAGACATAAGCCCCATTTACACTACCCTTTTGAAACCATGCAGAGATCGGTCCAAAGATGATAACCAAGATAACTGTTGAGTGTAAATGGTATTCAAAACTGAACCAGACTGCGTACCATCTAAGTGTTAGAGAGGAACATAGACAAGACATGGTTCCAGGATAAATGCCTAACTTTAAACTGGTCTCCTCCTAGGAGCCAGGCTTATGGGAATTAAAACTGACCTGCCCGCGATCTGAGCCTAAACCCTTAGGGCTCAGCGGAGAAGAACCGGGA